GCGGACGCGATCGCTGCTGCTCGATTTGATACAAGTGATCTAATTAGATCACTTGTAATAAACGAGCAGTGGCTCCCACAATACATTTAGCTCTGCTTGTCAGGAGCAGGGCTAAATGTACAAAAAAACTACTCGCCCGGCACCCGAAACTGCATATCCCGGGCGTCGGGAGATAGGGATTCGCTCTGTAAGATGCACACACATTTTCCCCCGCCTTTTGGGGGGGGAAGTGCGTCTTATGGAGCGAAAAATACGGCAATTATAAACTGTTATGTGTAAAATAATTACAAAATGTACAAATCTGTCCATTTGTCAGCTTATCGTATGAAAACCTGGGCAAGGTATTTATTTTACCATTGTACCAAATACAATTCTTATGTCTGATGATAATAACTGTGCTATGTATTCCTGGAAGGTTACATATTTTACAAAACACAGCCCCACCCCCCCTTGCCAGGGTCTATAGAGGATTCCTGGTAAAGCCTTGTTGCAAATGTCCCAGTTGTAAATGGGTACAAAAAGCCAAGGAGCAACGCACATCTGTCTGGTGTTCGACTGCAAACTGAACTTTCATACATCTCAAATTCTCAACTCTTATCCATATTCCATAACTCCTCCCAGGGGCGTAACTAGAAATCACAGGGCCTCATAACAAAATTTTGTATGGGGCCCCGTGATTTCTAGTTATACCCCTTGCACTCGAGATCCCGCCTCAGGGTGAACCTGCAGAGCCCACCATGGACTCTCTATTGTGGGCTCTGCCCAGGGTCACCCTCAGATGGGCTGGTCGCACTCCTTACCTGTCCGCCTCCTCTTCCTCCACGGTCGCTGATGGTCTCCGCCTCCTCCTCTGTCGCCGGGCCCGACTCCTTCTTCGTCACCGGGCCCCGCCTCCTCCCCTGTTGCCGACCACGGGCCAGCCTGCTCCACCGCCGCTGCTGGCTCTCATTGACTCTGCGGAGAGGAACGCGCTGCTGCACAGATTACTGTCAGTGATCTGAACAGCGGCGTGTTCGTCTTCAGCCGCCAGTGAAAGCCACCAGCAGAGGATCCCACAGCGACCCAGGCGGCCCGCACGGCATCTGGCCGGGCCCCACTTTGCCCCGGGCCCCATAGCGGCCGCCTGGGTCGCTATGGTGATTGTTACGCCACTGACTCCTCCTGTAACAGAGCTACCTTCATAAAAAATGTATCGGTAAAAAAATAAGTCAGGGCAACTGGACTTGCTGTATATTTCTTGAAGACGTTTCACTGGACATCCGACCAGCTTTCTCAATTCAGAATGACTTGTAAAAAACATTATCTGGGAATAAATATGGTGAATGTCGCTCCAATCCGCATCATCACAACCAGTCAAAACCAGGTGTTGATTTCATTTGCATAATTGGAGCTAGGAGGTGTCATTAACCTGCCCAGAGAGGCGTTAAAACAGCATTGTATGTTGCAGACAATAGATGTCTCACCCCCCCCCCCCCCCTATTCAAGCTTGGCTTCTCCATTTTTACATAAATGGCCTCTTTCACGCCTTTTTTACACCAGTCCTCCTCCGTGTCTAGGATGCGTACTTGACTGTCTTCAAAGGAGTGACCTTTTTCCAGACAAATGGTTAAACTAATAGATAGAAGACTACCATGACAAGGGTACTTTAGAGCCTTGGTTTTCAACTGGTGGGTTCAGTGGGTCGCCACGTGCCTTCCACTTTCTAGGTGAGAGGCTCCTCAGCCTTCCCCTTTTGCAGCACGCTCAGTTCTCGCACCAAACAGCCTTTGAAAATATGCTGCCCGGCCCCGAGTGTCAGCTTGAGGTGGGATCAGGCCCGGCGCTACCGCAAGACAAGCAGCCGCCTGAGGGCGCTGCAGGGTGAGGGCGGAAAAAACAGGGCATTTTAACAAGTACTTGTACTTGCCAAAATGCCCCGATGTTTGCGCTAAGATGGACTGAAGCTATAGCTGTGAGGGAGCTCCATCCATACATACAGCTCCTTCACGTGTCCTGTAGAGGTGCCTGGACCGGAGTGATGTCACATTCTGGCTGCCGGCACCTCTACAGGGCACACAGGGGAGCTGTACAAGCAATACACATGTGGATGGAGCTCCGTCACAGCACAGCAGCCCACACTGGACCCCAGGCTGATGATCCACTTCAGTTCTCATAAGGTAGGGAAACTGGGTGGATCTTTTAAATGGCACCCAAAACGCACCTCCCACCCACAGTTCGATCGCCCCCACACCGGAATGCGCGATACCACAATGTCGTACATTCCATTGCAGTGCAATGACCAAAGATAAATGTGGGTCCTGAGGTTACACAGGTTGAGAACCACTGCTTTAGAGGGATCCTGTCTTTTCCACCATTCTCCATTCCGCACTGTGACCTATTCCCCCAACGAACGCCCCCCCCCATTTTCCACAATAAAACACGCTAGATCGTATGGAGTTCAAAAAGGCCACAGCAGCCACTTGTTCACTTTAATTTAAATACAAAAACTTCAATACAAAAATAAACCAATATATTATCTGAAAACAAAACATACCCCAGTATCAACATTTTTGTACCCCAGGTTTGCGGGTCCCTGAAGGCACATGTACTAAAAAAAAGGAAACACCGCCTAATAACAACTGTGTCTACGGCTTCCAAGAGACTAGTAATTGGCCCGCAGCGCAGGGATTGGCAGAGGGGGGTGGGTGATGGAAGCCAGTGGTGGAATTGACAGAGGGGGGCAAGGGATGGAAGCCAGTGGAAGGATTGGCAGAGAGAGACAGGGGATGGAAGCCATTGGAGGATTGGCAGAGGGGAGCAAGGGATGGAAGCCAGTGGGGGGATTGGCAGAGAGAGACAGGGGATGGAAGCAAGTGGAGGGATTGGCAGAGGGGGGCGGGGGGTGGAAGCCAGTG